TGGTCTTAGTGAGGACTCGAGCAGCAGAGTTCTGAATGAGCTGTAGTTGTCTGACTGATTTTTTAGGTAGACCTGTAAAGATGCTGTTACAGTAATCAAGCCTACTAAAGATGAATGCATGGACTAGTTTTTCCAGGTCTTGTTGAGACATCAGATCTTTTATCCTTGATATATTCTTGAGGTGATAGTAAGCTGACTTTGTTATTGTCTTAATGTGTTTTTCTAAGTTTAGGTCTGCATCCATCACTACACCCAAATTTCTCGCCTGGTTTGTGGTTTTTAGATGTATAGATTGAAGTTCTTTGGTGACCTGTAATCGTTTTTCTTTGGCGCCAAAGACTATTACCTCAGTTTTGTTTTTGTTTAGCTGGAGAAAATTGTGGCACAACCAGTCATTAATTTCCTCAATGCATTTACCAAGAGCCTGTACAGGGCCTCGGTCTCCTGGTGACATTGTGATATATATTTGTGTGTCATCTGCATAGCTGTGATAGTTTATTTTGTTGTTGTTTATAATCTGTGCCAGTGGGAGCATGTAGATGTTAAACAGAAGGGGTCCCAAGATGGAACCTTGGGGAACTCCACATGTGATACTTGTCTGCTCAGATGTGAAGTTACCTATTGATACAACATGGCACAAATGTTCTCCACAGTCACCAGATCTCAATCCACTGAGTCAGTCACATCACAATCTCAACCAGTGTTTCTCAAACCTCGATCAAGCCACACATTAGGTTTACTCAGTGTTATGTAAGGTAATGTTGTAAATTACAGGCACTTACTGTCGCATCTGGCAAATCTAGCCAATAGCGCCTAACTGCAGGGAAATTGTAGTTTGAGTGTAGTATGACTTGGGATTGTGGGAGGAAGCTGGAGTAGAAAGAAACAGAGAGAATCCACGCAAACATGGGGAGAACACGCAAACTCTGCACAGAGGGTGAAGCCCGATCGTGGACTCAAACTCAGGACCGTCTTGCTGTGCTAACCTCCACGCTGCCACTGCTGCCCTATCTAATACCATTTTTAGTCAACTCAAGGATGAACAAACATGTGGGACCACATGATAAATAAAAACAAACTGCCACAAATGTTCTGTTATAAACTTTTATTCAGCATAATCTTTTTTAAACATTGCCGCTGACTGTCTCACTTTCCCACTATGGCAAGTTTTTGTTGAAGAAACTTCTCAAAGTTCTAACAACTTTCGGTCCCTGCACCTGATCACCATTCCTGTTCTCTATATTTTTTTTATTAGACCCTGGTGCAAACACAAAGGTTATAGCTTATTTGGCTTTACAACGGCCTTTACAGAACCAAACACAATGAGCTGCTCAGCAAAGTTTGACATATGGGTGACAAGCTGAAGAGAGACTCCACCAGTGACTAATGGTCATCTGGTTCTGGTTCATGGCCTCTAATGAATTGTGCTTCACTTTAAAATCAATAAACAACTGGCCGCTTGATGAAGGGGGAGGGAGAGTTTGACAATTATACACAGCTGATTGTACCAGCCTTTTACACACATGCATGCATATTCACATAAGCAAAGCGGGTTCACAGTCGCTGTGGAAACCATTCAGACTGGTGTAAATGCTCTCCAAATTATTTGAAGGGTTTGTGTCTATCGGAGTACAACAGGGAGAAAAGAAGGGAGAGAGCTGTGTGTTCTTTGTGTGGTTCTATTGTGGCTCACTGTGGGGGTGTCATACTGCAGGTTGCTGGCAGATTCACTCCACTGCACAGACTAACAGTGAGGAGAAAGAGCAACTAATGGCAATATGGAAGGCTTTTCTCTGTCTTTCTGAACTAAACACTTACATAAGGGATAAAACTCGGGATCAAACTGAACATGGAAATCCTCCTTTACTGAAGTGTTGATCATCTGAAACACAAAAGCCCACACACGGCCTCATGAGCCAGACAAAATGTCAGAGTTATGTGGTTCCTCCTGTGTGCATAGCTATGTAGTTAAACAGTCACACACTAGCAGCAGTCGAGGTTTCAGCTGAGGGCAGATTGAAAATAACCCTAATTAAACATCACAGCTGTAGTATGAAAGTGAGACAGACAGGGAGAGAGTGAGACAGTCAGTGGGAATGTTTAAAAAGAAAAAAGGTTTAAATACAACATAATACTTGCCAAGCTTTCTAACATCAAAAGAGACAGGTTTTATGCCTACATCAATGCCAATATTAGCGGCTGGAACAACATGTAATTTTGCTCTTACAAAAGCAAGACTTATTCTCATTTAATCATCAATAGTAACAACATATTAACATGCAGAAAGACTCAAAGCGGCAGTGCTGGACCTACTCTCTATCCTTCTATTCCTACACATCTGGAATTAATTTTCTTCACACTGTATATTCAAATCAACTGTATTAGTAGGTGGAGATGGATATCGTTGAGTGATTATTATTGGTTGGCTTTTTTTGACCTCTCCTTACCTCTTACGTGATTAAATTTGCATCCACTCACTGTCTATTTAATACTTCCTCACAGAGTAAAAAGTCAGCACTCTCCAATGTATCCCTCCCCCTCCAGTTTTATGGCTATGACGCTGGCACACAGTCCCCGAGGTTTGCTAAAAACTGCAATCAGGAGCAGGAATTATTCTGCTTCCCTTTTCTTCCATAAAGCTAATGTAAGTCTGTCTTTTTTGTTATAACTTTTTCACCATAAGACTGACTCACTGATTGATATGGCCCTAAGATTAATCTGTATATGACAAAAAACAGGCATTTTTTAAAAATGCCTGTTTTTGCCATTAATTAATTTTTATCAATGAAATGCATTTTCAAATGTTAAGTCAAATGTTTCCTAGCAACAAGATGTGCTAACTCTCGGAGCAACAATGCTGAGGCAACTTCCAAGAGCTCTGTCACAACAGTTTCCCCCTAAAATATTTCCCTGCTGTAAATGTATTAAACCTTAACCCTTTTCAGCCTTGAAGGATTCAGCAGTGAGTCCTGTATTGTATATTAAAGTTGCATAGAAATAATTGACTTTAACTTGCAGAGGTTTATTTGAAATTGTAGTTTCAGTCACAGGAGGGCTGTTGCTCTGTCATTTAGCTGCATTTTGAAACAGATCCAGATCATCTGGTATTTGCAGCTGCATTCCAAGCATAAAGTCTGAAATGTAGATTTTCATTTTACCTCTTTTGCAGCCAAAATATGGACCCAACATGTCTATATTTTTCAATTAATCCTCATCTGTCCATCTTTTTAACCAATTCGCAGAAGGTGGAGTGGGCTGTAGCCTATCCCATCTTTCATAAGGCAAGAGGTGGGGTACGCCCACCACATAGTCATAGGGCTACAATTTATCAGTTCAGCTGAATAATTAGGTCACTTGTGTTCCTGCTGCTTGTAATGACTTGATTATTATTATTATTATTCTTAAAACATTAATATTATACACACACACACACACACACACACACACACAAGAGTCTCAATAAGTTGTCAAAAATACAGTAAAGCTATTCAAAGTTTCCAGTAGGCTAACAGTTGTGCAGGGATTAAATACACCTTTGGTCAAATGATCAGCAATTCAGTTGCACATTTAGATGGACTTTATGTTTGTAGGACACAGCAGCCTGGTTGAGAGTAAACCAATAGTTCAGTTCAAATTGCAGCTTCTGGGCAACAGGTAATAAGTGATTGGCCAGCCTTGACCCAGACAACACAAGTCTAAATCCTTCCTAGAAACCAAACAACAGCGAAGCTAATGACAGCTTCACTGTTGTTTTGTTCAGCAATGAAGTAAAACAAATGAACACACGATTTATAGAATATGTTCATTTTATATTACACACATAAAACTTTACATGGGGTGGCTGTAGCCCAGGAGGTAGAGCAGGTCACCTACTGATCGGAAGGTTGGTTTGATCTTGGGCTCCTCCTGACTGCATGCCAAGTATCCTTGGGCAAGATACTAACCCCAAGTTGCTCTCCGATGCATCCATCGGAGTATGAATGTGTGTGAATGTAGTTAGAAAGCACTAAGTATAGAGAACGTGCTTGTGAGAATGGGTGTGATTGGGTGAATGTGGTATGTTGTATAAAGCGCTTTGTGTACTCCAGGAGAGTAGAAAAGCCCTATATAAGAATCAGTCCATTTACATCACAGTTACAAATGTTTATTAATCGTTAAGATTACACAGGTTTATTGAGTTGTGGAACACAGAATAAAAATCAACTTGTTTAGACAAAGAACCTGTTGCTGCACTGTTTTGTTGGACTCTGTCAGACTGACATGAATTTGAGTTGAAGCTACATACATCTTTCAGTCTTGTGGTTTTCATAATTCATATTTGGAAACAAAAATAACCCGTGTGTTGGAATAAATCCTTTAAACTGATGGGATTACTTGATTCATTCAGTTTTTGTCTTTGCAACTGGCAGCTTATGACCTCACGGAGACAGAAAGCCGTTTCAGCTATAGTGTCGAAGACAGCGACAAGTACTTGACTTTTAAACTTGTGGACAAAGATATGAGGTGTGAAAGCTTTGTGCCCCCCCCCCCCGGCCTGCTCTCTATGGCACATCAGGGAATGGTCACCTGCTCTGGGAGGATGCACACCGAGCTCTTCTCACTGCAGGGCTTTTTGAAGCGAGCAGAGAGGATGAGCTGCTGCAGGCACCTTAGTCTGAGGCTGCATGATCTCTTTGCTCTTTATATATTGCCGTCTGTAATAAAGCGAGGAGAAGATTTGATCGTCTAATTCTGATTAATATAAGAATGTGTAACATTCCACACAAGTAAGTCAATACAAGATAGCTTTGAAAAACCACGACTGGTTTTGGTAATCTTCCTCTCTTTTGACAGACTTCTATACACTGAGTGCCTGGCTCAGTTTATGATGTTAGTGACGTCAGTGGGATTGGGATATGCAGCGTTTTTAAAAGTTGTGGCAGGTGACATTAGACGTTTGAACGCGCTCATTCACAGCAAGGTTCGGTGATTTGACTTCCCCTGTTGGCATTCAATCTCACCTGCTTCTCTAGCGCCTCCTTCCCAGTGGTGGACATCTTGGGAGCCGGCGCGCGCTCGCAGGTGCATCCTTCCAACAGGTAAATCCCAGCAGGGCGCGCGCTTTGCTCGTTCTCAAAGTAGAACAGTACATTCTGGTGAAGGGCGAAGAACTTCTCGTGCCATCGGCTATTCTCCGCCGTCTTCTTGCTCAGGTAGCCGCGCTTAGTCCCCTCTTTACGCGCGACCGCCGACAAAAATAGCGCATGCCCTTCGTTGTAGCGGACGCTCTTCTGCATGTTGTCGTACTGTTGTGTAGACAAAAGAAAGTGCGACAACCGGTGCGTTCACTGCGAGCCCATGTTCCCCGGGGCTTGCGTGGAAACTTTGCCACAGAGCGACGGGCGGCTCAGCGGCGCCGTGGTGCATAGAAAAGTTGCCCCGCTGACGGAAGCGCTTCTGCAGAGGAACTCATAGTAAAGATGCCCGAGTCCCGCATTCACTCAAATAAATCCATCCTTCGCTTTTAGAATCAAACAAATGGAAAGCGAGAGAAAGCGAGAGGCGTGACGCTCACAGAGGGAAGAACCCTCTTAAGTGGACACAGAGTCGCAGTCCCGATAGACTGTAATCGGCTTTGGCAGTGGTTTACTCTCTCTCTCTATCGCACACTCACTCTCACTAGGTCTCTCTCGCTCTCTCTCTGGTGATGCGCGCTGATCTTGGAGTTGGCGGAATTAAAGGCGGAGCGACAGCGAGTTGGTCGATTTTGAGAGTGAGTGAGGTCTTTAAATATGTAGCTTACAGTGTAGCAAATGTGAATTATTTCTGTACTTTTTTCCAACAGCAAATGTTTTGTAGTTTTGGGAATTCATTTTATATCCAAGTTAAGTTTACAGATATTTCGGGTTATTCCTATGCATGTTTTTTTTTTTTTTTTTTTTAAATCTTAAATAGATAAAACCTTTCGATGCTCCAGGGGGAGCTGCTGGGCGTGATAAACTCGGCGTCAGCTCAAGTTTGAAACGGAGAAAAATGTTACCAAAGTTCTGCAGTTTGCTTCTTGTCTTTGGCTGAGGGATGATGAAGGCTTTAGGCTACAGTAGACACTGTTAACACAGCTCCTGTGTAACTTGAATCTCTGAGTAACTTGGGGTTGTTCTAGAGGTCCACAAATTTAGAATGAGCTTCAAAGCAATCTGTCTGTCTTCAAACGGACTTTATTACGACAGTTGCTAATAAAATGTTTGATTTTGAATCCTATGTGGCAAGGATCCTTCAAAACCTACAGTATATATATATAT